GGCCCACCCAGTGCTCAAACAGAATGATAGCCTCATTCCCAGCTGGCTTACTACTGAGGCGTTGTCTACCCACCTATCAGAGAGGATCCCCAAGACTGACAGGAAGGATATGGAGAGCTCCCACAATTCCATTTAGCAAATGTAGAGTCTACTTTCCCACAATGCATGTAGAAATTCCTACCTCCTGACTCAATCAAACGCAAATGATTTTGTGTATGTGTGTATGTGGTTGTCAGAGTTCAGAAGAGTTGCTTCTCTCAGTTGGCCACATCAAACAGATAATTGGAATCCTCAGAGACTTCATCCGCTCTCCAGAGCACAGGGTGATGGCGGCAACAATAGCAAAACTAAAGGTGGACCTGGACTTTGACAGCTCATCCATCAACCAGATTCACCTGATCCTGTTTGGATTCCAGGATGCTGTGAGTGCTATCGGGCCCGGAAGAACATGATAGCTTAAACTAGTTAACTCACCCTGTTCTTCTCATTTGTTCACAACCGGAACCCCATATTTCAGCAGCTCTTTGTAAGCACACAGTAATTGCATTTGACCACAGAGAGCATGCATAGGCTATAGGGAAAGGCACTTGCCAGAACACTGGGTATGCTTCTATGCCTGCCCAGATGTATGTTCCTCCAATACCAAAGCCAGGTCTGGTTTATCTTGTTACATGTTCCCAATAGTCTGTCATGTCATAGATGCTCAATAAATGCTCTTTGAATCAACAGCCAAGAGGCCCGGTGACATCGATCCCATTGTGGTAATTCATTGTTTAGAACCCATTGTGACTTAGGGTCTACCTAGAGGAAGGTTCATTCAGAAGAATGAAGCAGGCAGAAATCCAGGGTAGCACAGCAACACTTCATCTCACAGGGAAGAGGAGCAAATTAGAATTAGTAAGTCGGTTTCTTAAAAGTTCAAAAGAATAGACATATGGACTTTTGTGACTTTTTTTAGGTCAATAGAATTTTGAGAAACCACTTAATTAGGCCTCACTGGATGTTTGCAATGGACAACATCATTCGCAGAGCTGTGCAAGCTGCAGTTGCCATTCTCATCCCAGGTAAGTGCCCTCTTGCACTCAAGGTCAGGTTCAGGCTGCCCAAGAGAGCATTAGCCTCAAACATCCAATTCTGTTTCCATTTTGGTTTTATACTTCCCCACAGTTAAGTAAATGCTGTCATAGATCTTTCTGGGACTAAAAGTCTGTGATAACATCTCTTAATGTCCTATTTACTTACCTCCTGGGCATAATGAAGGTGACTGTGTACAAAGTATACTTTTGATCTTAACAAGGAGTCAGTGTTTGAAGGCAGGGATCCTCCAGTGATCATACAGCCTCCTCAGTGTGCATGTTCACCCATGCTTATCAGATAATTGATAATTACATGGCTGTTTCTTCAGAAGCATCCTTCACTGGCTACAGATCTTGCTGTATGTATGTGCATGTTCATTCTGGGGAACAAACTCTGAAGTACATGCTGTATCTCTGTGCTATGTAGAGCCCAATCTTAAGAGGCTTCCTTTTTGAAATGTTAGCACAAACTTACTGCTCAGCTTGCTTCTCCTGTGGTACTTTGCCTGAAGAAGGCAGGCTTTAGAATTGTTGCTCTCCCTTCCTTCCTTCACACTGGGCCTGGCTGCTCACTTCTGCCTGCTCTCCCAAGTGCTTCTTGGAACAGGAACCAAGCAGAGCCCAAGCCTGTTTGTAGCCATTCATTGTCATTTTCTCTTGTGTAAACTCAGAACATAGTTACACTGCAGAGAGTCCAATCAAATCATCTCTTTAGTCACTAGTGTCCTCACACAGCAAGCAGTGCAATGCAATGAATTGTCTTATTGAGTGCTGTTCTGTGCCTTGGTCTGTTTTCAGAGCTCCAAGCCCACTTTGAGCCTGCCTCTGAGGCCGAAGGGGTGGACAAGGACACAGAAGTGGGAGGGAATTATCCCTTTGTAGACCTGCTTGGCCAAGAAGTGCATATGGCACCCAGAGGTATCAGACCTGGCTCAGTTGCTATCGAAGAGGGCCAGCCCCAGCAGCAGGAACCAAGCCTCCAACTAAGCAAGCTCAGGCAAGAGACCAACAGGTCAGGATCTCACACACCTTATACAAGATCCTCTGGTCACAGTTGACAACTTTATCTAGGTCTTGGGGAAATGTATATTCACTGTCAGTGAACTGGAGCAAGGGTACATTTCCAAGTGCACAAAGGCCTCCATTCTCTCAATGCCAGGAATCAGTACAGTGCGTCGTCACAGGTCACACACAAATCTGCCATACCAAAAGCAGCAAGCAGCACCATCTGAAGTTTGGCTTCACGATGGCACCTCTGGCATGGTATGTGGTCCAGCAATGAACAGCTATAGCCTGTCCCCACAGAAGCAGCTGGGGGAGTGGGGGCAATGTAGCAATTTGTAGGTAGTGGTATATCCTGTAGCCCTATTCCAAGCCTTCCCGGTCACTTGTTAGGATCCCTAGGCAGGCATTAGTAGATTGCCTTTCCAACCTTGTAAACGAGTAACACAATTCCCCTTTGCTCTGGAGAATCAATAAGCTTTTTAAAAACACCAGCCACAGCTATAGTAAACTAGATGGTGTTTGCTCCAAACGTCACATTGTTGCTTGTGGCAGTGCTGTCTTGAATGGGGAGATTAGGTACTGGGCACACACTTTTGGATAAAAAGATGTACACAAATAACCCTTAGGGGAAGTTTGATCTTAGATATTTTTAAGGCCTGGAGTTTAAATAATCATGATGGCAAAAACTCGGGAGTTTTAAAATGATGACAAGTACAAAAAAGTTGATAGTAATACATTTCTTCAAAATGTCTTGCAGAAAGATTTTAATTATCCAACTCAGTGTTAACTCAGTTAGTAGTTAATAAATACACTGCCTGGCCGGGCGGTGGTGGCGCACGCATTTAATCCCAGCACTTGGGAGGCAGAGGCAGGCGGATCTCTGTGAGTTCGAGACCAGCCTGGTCTACAAGAGCTAGTTCCAGGACAGGCTCCAAAACCACAGAGAAACCCTGCCTTGAAAAACAAAAAAACAAACAAAAAAGAACCAAAATAAAATAAATACACAGACTGCTTATCCTCAGGGTGTGGCATAAACAAAAATGGGAATCATTCCCATTAAAAGCTCAAGCTACTTGATGTGCTCAAAGAGGAGCTTCTTGAGACAGATGAAGGCAGGTAGGGCAGAGGTGAAAAAAAATTTTACTTGTTGAGTACTAGTATGATCTCCTTGTGGTCTTGCTGGGGTAGAAGTATCCACCTCTCCCACTCCATTTGCTAACAAATGACCCCAAAACTGTTTTCATCTATTTATATTATGGCTGCGCCCTCTCGGGCAGTATCAATAACTAACTCCAGTAATTTAAAGCTTAGTCCTGCAGTCATTTGTTTACCAGTAGATAACCACATGGCATGCCTTTTTGATTAGTTTAAAATAATCTTGTTTATTATTAGATACATGAGCAAATGAAAGTTAGCCATGGTTCTGACTTCCAGCTCTGTTCCCTTCTGCTGTTAATGAGCTAGCATGGGGCGATCCAGAAGCTTGAGGCTTAACTGTATCAAGTCATGCCTTTCATGTCTCAGGGACACCATGAGTAAGACTAAATGGCAGAAGATAAGGAAGACCCCACCAGAGACAGAGTAAATTGCTTAAAGAAATGGCTTGGAAAAGAATGTTTACTTCCTAAGAATTGTGTGTCCTAAGGTTTAGATGCACTATGGGCAGTCCTCGGTGTTAGTGATTGCTAGCAGCATTCCCCTCATGCAGCTGCAGCTTGCACGGGCCATGCTTGGTCCCCTGGCTATTCTTGTCAAAATACTACTCTTGCTTTGGCTACTAATGAGTGCAGAAAGAAGGCTGTCCATCCTAGAGTCAGCTACTTTATCCGACTTGGTTTGAATAATTAGGTGCTCCTTCTGGCCAAGTACTAATGATCAATGGGAAATTCATTTTTTTTTTTGGTTCCCTGATACATTTTGAAACAAAACTGTCTTTGTCCAGGAGGCTGCTCTAATAAAATAAGCAAAACTTCATTTCTCACAGCTCTGCAGACTTCAAAGTCTAAGATCAAGGTGAGGGTACATAGACAGCTGTACACTCGCAAGTCTAAGATCAAGGTGAGGGTACATAGACGGCTGTACACTCGCAAGTCTAAGGTCAAGGTGAGGGTACATAGACGGCTGTACACTCGCAAGGCCTCTTACACTACCATTTAACATGCATTTCAAGAGGGATACAATCACTGGCTCCATTGCAAAAATATACCCACACTCTCAGTACTGGGCCTTTGGCATCAAGGAGATGAAAAACACATTTCTCCTACGCAAGCTTCTCTTTGGGGCCCCACTGCTTGGGTTTAGATTGTGTCTTTTTCTTTGTTTATCCAATACCTGATGTTTAACAGATGTTTGAATTGAATGTGAATACTTTATGAATGATGGGTGTTGTTTTTTAAAAAACAGACTTTGGGAACACCTAGTTCAAAAAGAAAGAGAGTGCCAGAATCTTCTACGGCTAACTCTAGAACAGAAAACTCAAGAATTACATCATCTTCAGTTAAAATACAAATCCAATGGTGAGTCATTTTCCCTTTGCTCTGATATAGGTGTCAAAGAGGGACAAACTACTAAACTCTGACTTAACACCTTGAAGAAATGGCTGAGGTTACCATATAGTATACTGATTCTAGTTGGTATTTTAGAAGAGGCAAAACTGGACAGAAATCATGATGGACAGGGAAGAGCCCAGAAGGGTAAAAAAAAGTGTCTTGACTATGACAGTCCCACGATTTTGTGTCACAGAGGATACCTAAATTAGAATGACTCTCAAATCTGCCCCTTAAAGCATAAAAGTAGCTCTTGGGATAAAGAACTGGACATAAAGCTATGCCACCAAATCTTAACACTTGAGTTTCAGTGTAGATATAGATAGAGATGATTTTACTCTCTGGAAAGGGACCCAAGAATTGTAAAAGTAGCTGAGTCAGAAAAGTTTATTTCCTTTTCACATCACATTTACATTCTGTTTGGATATGTCATTACATCCACTTTGTTACTTTCGAAGTAGTTTATGGTTATACATTACTATACAATAAAACAAAATTGGAATCATTATAGGTGGTACAGAGAATCCAGCACCCCCTGATGAACTGGGAACAGACAGAGAGCTTATAGACTGGTTGCAACTACAAGGAGTGGATGCAAATACAATAGAAAAGGTAAATTTCTAAATCAAATATTCCTATGATGTTGTTGAAAAGCTGCTTATCTCATAAACTGAATCATTGTTTCAGATTGTTGAAGAAGATTATACACTTTCTGATATTCTCAATGACATTACTAAGGAAGACCTAAGGTGCCTTAGATTACGGTAAGAGCTTCCAAATAGTTTGAGTCTTGGAAGGTCTTAGTGAAGTAGAAAAACAAAATGGTGGTAGCTTCCTCTGATCTTAAATTATCTTCCACTCTTGTTTAAATGCCCACACCTCTACACAGAGCCACCAACATTCCTATGGCACCAGGTTCAGACAAAGAAAACACTTTAATAAGTTAGATTATATTTTGAAAGAGTATTTATCTGGCAAATGTAATCCTGTAGATTGAATGCTTGATTCCCCTATTTGTGAGGTGGCTGTTTTCAAATTTGCTTTTCTTATGAAAACTCCTATTTTGCAGCGGTGGTGTCCTCTGTAGGCTCTGGCATGCAGTCTCCCAGCACAGAAGACAAATGCAGGAGTCCTCACACTGAGCCAAGCTCGAAAGAATAAGCAAATACCCTAACACCTGCTTATGGTCAAAGCTTCTGTTCGTGTACACACAAATCCTGCGTTTACATAGAAATTCCAGCATGTATAATTTTAGACCATCCTTGTTCATAAACAGGATTGTATGTAACATCAAACATGATCTAGTATATTGAATTCTTAGGACTGTACTTAATTTAAAAAGTCAGCATACCTTATAGTAACTGCTGGAAAGATAAAGCATAATTCTTAAATGTGAAAGGTAAAAAACAGTGTGCCTTGCAATGGGAGTACAAGTTCATGTTTGTTAAATGAAAATTAAATTATTTTATCTTTGAAATGCCTGATTATATAATAGCCTTTGATCACAGAGACATGGTCAGTGCTAACAGATGACAGCCTCCACAATGCAGGGTGGCTGCTACTCTTCTACCTGTGCAGTGTACTAATTCCAGCATGCCACCTCGACATATCTGTGGTAGGATATGATGAGGAAAAGGTATAAACACTCCACTATCCATTTCAAATCCTATACAAATTCATTACACTCTTATTCACATGGATACACTGCATACAACATAGAAACTGCATGCAACTTACTCTTCCTTAATTTACATGTCTTCAAGACTTTGGGTATTTCCTGTCCTTAAAGTTGAAAGCACAAAGAGTTCTTACAGTGGATGATGAACCCTCATTCATTTCAGTTTCCCATTAACTGACTGACTTAAACTTGATCCATTGGTTGGCACCACGCACTTCAAAGGGAGGATCACTACTGTAGATGTGATAGCCTAGTTCCTCCAAGGGTGGCTCTGGATCAGCTGTAGCAAACTGGGCAGCATCTTCGATTTCTTTCCTCACTTCCACATCAATCTCCTAAACAATGCAAGAGATTTTTTCAATCAAAGGCAGCTTTGGAACCAACTAGAAAGTCTGAGAACCTGTTACTATATAATATGTGACTCTTCACCACTTAAAGACAGTATATAAATTACACATGCAAAGGACATTTTTAGGGAAAAAGGGGGCGGAAACAAAAGTTTTTGTACGAATGTCTATTACTCTATTTTCTTTTTTTGAGACAGGATATCTATCATTGAGCACAGAACTCACCAGTTGGCCAGCACACTCAAAGCATTTGTCTTCACCTCTTTCTAATCCAGAGCTAGAGTTGTACACATGCACCACTGTGCCCACTAGATGTGGGTGCTGGGAATCCAGACTCATATCCTCATACTTCTGCGGCAAGCACTTTACCAACCAAGTCATATCCCCTGCCCTGCATCTCTTTAATTCTCAGCAGAAAGACCAAAACCAATAGCCCTGTGAGACTTCAGATTCAACAATAACCTCATCAGAATGCTTTCTGGGTTTGAAAAAAACTCAACTTTCTGGCCACCTAGGAGTGACATTTTGTGAGGTGTGGGAAATTAGTCAGTGAACCTACCTTTAAAACCAGACTTAAACCTCCAAGAGCAACTGTACCTTTAATTCTTCAACACTTGCAAGATTGCTGTTCACCATTCTATCCTTGAGAAGCATAATAGGGTCGCTCTTACTTCTTACTTCCTGGATTTCTTCTCGAGTGCGGTAACTATGGGGAAGGGAGATGCGGTGATAGACCCTTAAGAACAGTGCCTGAGAACTTTGTGAAGTATAAGAGTATATTTTTGAAAGAGAGGAAGGAACAAGCTAATACTGATGTCACTGTGAGACTAGTTAGGGTGGTAGGCATCTTTTATAGAAAGCTATTCACTGTAACTTGGGGTTTTACTGGCATTCTAACAAGGACCAAGTATTTGCTTCTTTGACCTGGAAGAGAGGGTCACCAGCAGTTTTACACATTTAGCCTCACTTTTTTTTTACATGGATGGAGCAAGGAAGAGCTGGCAGTGGTGATAATTCTAGACTTTTGAAGCATCATGAATGAATGAAACTTATGCCCTGGCAATGCTGAAGCATGTATGGAGTTTCATGGTCTAAGTTGATGAGGATGACTGACCAGGTCTTCCTCCTGAAGCATCATACCAAGCAGGAAATAACTACACCTTGCCTTTCTCACTAAGACCCCAAAGCAGCATGACCAGCAAAATCCTAAACACACCAAGTTTCTGATTGTTTCCCTTAGTCCAGTGGTTCTCAACTTTCCTAATGCTGTAACAACTTTCCTAATGCTGTAACTCTTTAATAAAGTTCCTCATGTTGTGGTGAACATTATCTTCATGCTTTGTTGTGGTGAACATTATCTTCATGGCCACCTCATAACTAATTTTGCTACTGTTAAGAACCATAACGTAACTATCTGGCACGTGACCCCTGTGAAAGTGTTGTTGAGAGCTACTACCTTGGTCCATTCTACAAGGGCTGAACTAAAGTTCGACTAAACTGACCACTTCTAAACTGTCAAGTCTACTAATTCATCATTACATGCTAGAGCTAAAAGAAAGGAACAACTTAAACTTTTCATGTAGCAGTTAGCCTTGCTCCCTACCAGTGAGACTTTCAAATCTCAGTCCTCTCCAAGTAGAATTTGCCATGCCTGAATTTGGGGTGATGCCCACATAAACTAAATGACACCTAAAATAATTCTCTCATCTGCCTTACATTGACAGTTCCACACTGCAATTTAGTTACATAATGTTCTTTTTTAAATGACTACTCATATTCATGCTAACATACAGGATACAACATATAGGATACATTGTAGGGATCTTCAAGCTGCTTTCAGACTAAGCCTCAAAACAACCACTTGAAGCCAACAAAACAATTTTATTTGGTTGTTAAGAGCCAATGAAGAGGTTCCTCTACTGTTTGATTTAAGTAGCCCAAAGCCTGCCCAGCCACCATGGGAACCACAATCAAGATACCCCATGAACTTTACCTGACTCCAGGGTCACTCATACTATGTCCATGGTAACGGTAAGTCTGTAGCTCCATCAGGATGGGCCCCTAAAATAGAGCCATAAATGGTTAAGGCTACAAAGATATGTGCCAAGAATTGTTGCCTCAAATGGAGACACACACACACACACACACACACACCGCGACATCCAATACATTCTTACCCACCTTCTATGTATCAGCTGAGTTGTCAAGAGTTTACTGGTTGACTTTTTCTTTCTTTTTTTTTTTTTTTGAGACAGCATTTCTCTGTGTAACAGCTCTGGCTGTCCTGGAACTGCCTCAAACTCAAGAGATTCGCTGCCTCTGCCTCCCTGAGTGCTGAGATTAAAGGCAATGCACCACCCAGACTGATTCTTAACACCAATTTATGCCATGTTTCTTCCTTCTCAATTTTAACAAAAGTAAACTGCAGAGGCATGTTTTCCGGGCTTAGAACAACCAGTTAAACTTAGCTACTTGAAGCTCCTTTTAAGCCAGTCTCACTGTTCCCTCTCCCTCCCTGCCACACACTGGCAAGATATATAATAGGCATTCAAATGCAGTCTAAGTAAAATTAAGCACTGTGGAGATCCAAAGTTTGATCATTCAAGGGGCTTATGATTAACAGAGGGGTGGGAACATATAATTAACCAAGCCAAAAGACAAAAAGAGGTTTTCAAATTAATGTCAAAGTGAAGACAGAGGCAAAATGCCAAGGAAATGCAAGAATAGAGAAATATGGAGTGTTTACTAGGTGAGTCAAGATCATGCTATCTCATTGGACTCTGCTTGTTTCAGAGAGCTCACTTAGTCATTACCCCAGGATAGCTCCAACCGCCATCTGGAAAGGCTTCTTTTAACTGAAGTGAATGTCATTATAAACCTGTAACCTAAAAGCCTATGAAAAAAATCTCATCTTACCTTACCAGACCTACAATATGCAGCTGCAAACTTTGTTGCCTCTCGGACACACAAGATATCCATTCCATCTACCTGTTAATAAATGGGGGATGGGCAGAATGTAAATGAACTATCCAGATCCATTTAACTTTTATTGTGGTGCTGAAGAATGGAATCTAGGACATAACTCGTGCTAGGCAAGTGTTCTGCCACTAAGCCACACCTCCTGCCCTCCCATTCAACTTTTAATGACCTATTCAAGCATAATGTGACGAAACTGTAGAACATCTAGCAGATAGGGTATGGTTCTGCCTCTACAATAAGGAACCTTACCCTCAGTCCAGGAATAAAATCTCCTCTTTTGTAGTAATCTGTGCTGGCCGCTGCTCTCTCGACAGATGTCCCCATGCCATAGCGGTTATTCTCACAGATGAAAATACAAGGTAGTTTCCACAATGCTGCCATATTGTAAGCTTCAAATATTTGACCCTAAAAGCATTATATAAAATGCAAGTGGTTTAATTTATTTCTCTAGACTTTTTCACCATTCCTAATAGTTGTTGCACTGCCTAACACAGAGAGCTTACACTAAGGCCAAACAGCCTCATCTTTATAACCAAGTTTCTGGTGGTGAGGGAAAGGAGCACATGCTGCTATGGTAGGGAAACGTGGTGTGTACTGTATGACTAGTATACATTTTGGGGGATCTACTAAAATAGAACACACTGCAAAGAGGAACATGGAAAAGCACCAAGTTACCAATTAGTTTTACGCTCTGCTATTAATCTGTCACACTCAATTGACCGATAATCAGAGTGAACCAGCAGCATCTGAGATTCGGCATCCAGGACAGGGTCTCACTAAGTGCTGTCCAGAGGCTGGTGATTACACTGAGACCAAGACAGGATGAGCAAAGAAACCAAGAGCCAAGGTTCAGACATAGGAATCTGGTATTGCATTCGAGTCCAAGTGAAGAGTCTCTGGATCACACTATTGGTTTGTAATGGTCTACATTTAGCCAACAAGGGTGGACCTATGGCTCAGCTATAAAGATCACTTGCTGCTCTTGTAGAGGACCTAAGTTAAGTTCCCAGTGCCCACATGGCAGCTCACAACTGTCCTTAACCCCAGTTCCAGGGGACCTTCTGACCTCCATTGGCACCAGGCACACATGCAGTGCACAAACACACATGCAGGCAAAACTAGAAATAAGTAGATCTTTTAAAGAGAAATTACAAAAAAAATCTCCCACCACAGAGCATATTTGCAAAGCATAAATGTAACGCAAAGAGACACATCATCACAGAAATGTACCCTTAGAAGGCTCATGTCAAGAGGTTAATCTCCCATGTGAGTCAGCCACATGAAACGCTATTTCAATTAATAAACAATATGCCATTTCTTTATAAATCCAAATATGGCCAGTCACAACTTGGACATTAAAGTAATTGTTTCTGGAAATTAAGAGATGCACTTACCTGATTAGCAGCGCCATCGCCATATAATGTCAAACAGACCTCATCTTTTCCATTGTATTTGCAGGCCAGAGCAATCCCTGCTCCTAGGGGCACCTAACATAAAGAACAACCAAGAAAACTGTACAAATTAATCTGAGTTAGAATGCATTTAAATTTCAATGCCTGGAGAATACGGGAAGCTAAACTAGTGCTGCAAGTCTTCATTCCTAACCCTGTCACTATCTACCTACCCTGTTATTTTGTGAGCCACCATGTGGTTGCTGGGAATTGAACTCAGGACCTTTGAAGAGCAGGCAATGCTCTTAACCACTGAGCCATCTCTCCAGCCCCCTACCTACCCTGTTATTTTGAACAAAACATGAATAAATTCTATATTATTTCTGATTTCTGCACCCAAAGATTTAACTACTGATCACAACAAGATAAAAAAAAACGAAGCCTAGATATATAATAAAATCTACTGTAGTGGATATTGTTGATGCTGTTAATACTTCACTTCTCATTAATTGATGAGAACAAGGACTTCCTATTCATGAAAGTAAGGTTTTTGCTTTTTTTCTTAGGCTGTCACTTTAACAAGCCCCTCACTTGTAATTGGATCCCATTGCTAGCACTGCCTATGAGTATGTCAGAGTGAGTGAAGTTGAAGTGATGAGCCATTGATTTTACTGAAATATAAAAAGATGAAGGGATAGCTCCACCACTATAGGCTCTTACTCAAACACAACAAAAACAAACCTTAAATCACTACCCAAATCTACTTAATTCCTCAAATGGGAAGATAAAAGGCAGTAAGTAAAGACAAACCAAACTCCCAAATTACTGAAATCCTCTGAAATTACAGAAGTTCTCTGGAGTGAAGAAGGTCCTGAAGACACAGGCCAGGATCAAATGTATCAAAGCATGTGCTCTTCCTCAGTTACCTGAGCTCCAACGATGCCATTGCCCCCATAGAAGTTCTTGGCGTACATGTGCATCGATCCGCCTTTCCCTTTAGCACAACCTCCTCTTCGTCCTAGAAATGGCAGCACACACACCAAGCATAAATAAAAACAACCACACAAAGCAATAACCACCACCCAATCCAATTGTCTGTCCCTCCAGGAAAACACACCTCCTCATCTCCGTGTCTGTGATAAGGTTAGACTAATCCAATGGTGCCTGTTTTCTAAACGCTTGTTACCTTCAGATGTTAGCAAAGTATTTTTGACACTAGGTTTAGAGGAAGTACACACATTATCTAGAATCTGCCTACATTTCAAAGTACTTCAACCCAATTTACTTTCTCTGTTAGATTTCTCATGTTTTAGTGAAAGCAAATCTTATTTTCCAATTTCACCTGAGGGTCCAGATGACCTCATAAATGGTTTACTCAAAGTCACAACAGAGGTACCAGGATACATACCAGAAGGCTTGATTGTTTCAAAAACGAAAGTTCTAAGATTTTTACCACTAATTCATAATGCTTAGCAACTTAATGGAAGATATTTGAAAACTTCCCCCACTCACTATATCCCTTCCCTGTAAATCCACAGCAAACCTGTTAGCTCTGCAAGAATTGCTCGGACAGGCAGGCCCCGAGTGAAGGTGAAGCCATGAGCTCGATAGGCTGTGATGAGATGGTCCGTGGGGTTTATGCCAGCCTCTAGGCCCACACAGCAGGCTTCCTGGAGTAAAGGAAGAACCACGAAGCAATGCCATTATTTATATTTGAATAAAGAACTTCTATTAGATTCAATAATTTAAAAATCATGGATCAAGCTGGTCAGTGGTGGCACACGCCTTTAATCCCAGCACTCAGGAGGCAGAAGCAGGTGGATCTCTGTGAGTTCGAGACCAGCCTGGTCTACAGAGTGAGTTCCAGAACAGCCAGAGCTACAAAGAAACTCTGTCTCAAAAAACCAAAACAGACCATAAAACAAAATAAATAAATAAATAATTCCAAAACCACACATGGATCAGTGAACCTGTCATTAGTAACTCCAAAAAAGTATTTTTCATTAAAAGAAAAGGGTAAGGTCTAAATCAGAAGCCCTAACCAATCCACAAATGTACTGTTTCCTTTAGTCTGGACAGAATTTAAAAATATAATTTGCCAGTCAGATGCCAACATTAAAAAATTGATAGAATGCATGCAAACCAAAGAAGTCTTAGGTCTGTGTTTCCACATGGAAGTAACTGACTGAAACCAAGTCGTGGCATCTCTGGATGGGGCCTAACCATCCCAACTCCGCACTGATCCAGCTTACCGTTGTTCATATTGTTATATATAACTGACTTCACTCATTTATTCTACCTAGCTAGTTCTGTAGACTGCTAAATTTGGAATCAGTTACTGTCAACTTAAAAAGTTCTAGAATCACCTAGAAGACAAAGCTCTGGGCATGTCTATGAGGAAATTTCTTGGGCAGAAGTGGGAAGACCCACCCCTACATGTGGATGGCAGCATCCCATAGCCTAGGATCCCAGACTAAATAAAAAAAGAGAAAGCAAGGTAAGCGGCAGCATTCACATCTCTGCTTCCTGACTGCACATTCATGTGACCAGGTAACTCAGCTCCTACAGCCATGCCTTCCCCACCAAGATGGACTGTACCTTCAAGCTGTGAGCTAAAATAAACACTTCCTTATGTTGCTTCTGTTGGCTATTTTGTCACAAATGGAACACACTCTCTCCCTCTCTCTCTTTCTCTCACACACATACAACACACACTCACACTCATAAAACAACAAAATAGCCCTTTCCCCAAGAATGCATAAAGCATAGATGTGTGGGGTTCCAGCAAATTTTAAAAGTAAAATTCTAAGAACAGATATAAAATTCAGAAATGCTAAGTGTGAATAAATTCTTTTTTTTTCAAGATTTATTTATTAAGTATACAATGTACTGCTGGCAAGGAAGGCACCAGGTCTCATTACAGATGGTTGTGAGCCACCATGTGGTTGCTGGGAATTGAACTCGGGACCTCTGGAAGAGCAGCCAGTGCTCTTACCCTCTGAGCCATCTCTCCAGCCCCGTGAATAAATTCTTATGCCTACAATTCACAGTGGGTCCTAGCATTCTAGTTTTATTTTGAAATCCCTATTTCAAATCCTTCTGACCCAAGAAGCAGGGTGAAAACCAATAAACAGAAACCATACTTAAAGCTAAGTGTGGTGGCTCATGCTTATAATCGCAGCATTCTGGGGGATGAGGCAGCACTATCAAGGTTCAGGGGTTTCAAGCCAGCTTAGACAGTAAGAAAGAACTCAGTGAGTTAAAGGAGGTTGCTATCAAGCCTGGAACCCATATGGTAGAGGAAGAACCAAATTCTGCAACCTGTCCTCTGACCTCCCCCCCACCACACATACATACTCACACACAGGGTGGCACATAAATACCCCCGCCACACACACACACACACACACAATAAATGGTGGTTTTGAAATTCTAAAAGCCTAAGATGAAGGCAAAGAAAAGAGGTGACAGGGGAAAGAAGGCATAAAGAAAGAAACCTATTTAAGTATCCTAATAACATGCATAGCTTTCTAACAAACTTACCACTTACCTGACCATCACACAAGTGACAGAAACCACGGATAATTTTCTGTTTATATAGCTGATCTGCCTTTAGCTCCATTCGCCGCACAGTCTGCATCATCCTGTAGTACTTGAGCCCATCCTCTCTGGTGAGCACTGTGGTGACTGGAGGGCCCTCTTCTAGCCGATGAAGGTCACATTTCTGAAATAAGGTAGTCACCCTCCAGTTACTACTCCACAAATACTGCTGATGCATTCTAAGATCCAACTCCACACAAATAATACACAACTTGAACTACAGCAAAGAAATGCATGCCTCATCGGTGCTTCAAGAATAATGTCTGAGAAAGCCTTGATCCCATCACTTGAAAGGTGAGAGCAGGAGGAATAAGAGTTCAAGGTTATTCTTTGCTAGATAGGAAGTTTGGGATTAACTGAGGCTCCATGAAACTGCTTCTAAAAGAAAAACAGTGTTTCAAAATGCTTCTGATTGCTTAAATTTATGGTCATCAATGTTTCACTAAATCCCACCCCCTACTAAAGGTACATCCAATCTCTGGCTCAAGAAGGTCTATTTTCCAGGATAGCTATCAGGTCAACCCAACGTATTTGTAGGTGACAACATGTCAGAATGTGAAAAGGTTGAACAACCCTGTTGGAGTTTATTTTTAAAGCCTGCATCCTTTAAACTGCCAGCAAGTTACTATTGCTAAACTTCTCTGAACCCTTGGTTCTAGAATATTTTAAAGAAAGTAACCCTACCTTCACAGCGCCAGTATCAACTCCTTAAAGTGAAACTGTATCAGTACCTGTGAAAAAACTAGAAGCACAAAGTGAAACACTCTTACCTTAATCTCAAATGTAGCATCATTTGCAAAATTACGGGAAGCTACTAGCACTCTGCTTGCCTAGAAAACAGAAATATGCAAATAATTCATTACTTCTGTTTTTTAACTGTCCAGAATAAGTCATTACTATCATGAATCCATGCTTAAAGAAAGCATGGATTTTGAACACAGCCTCATCACTATCTGAAAGCAAAAAAGGAAGGTGGCAAATACCAAGTCTATCCACTTTCCATTTTGTTTTCAAAGCAATTACAGTGAGAACAATAACAATGGTCAAATCGAAGAAACTAGATTGTGTGGGCTTTTTAAGGTTTATTTGAAAATACTTCAAATAAAACTATGTTAATCCCTATTTAGGGCAAGCTACTTTTCTATGACATATAACCATGACGGAAAAAAAAAACATTCAAATCATGACATAAATACCTTAGTGAAAAACATGTCAAAAATCATGGACTTGGGCCAACCACTATATAACTTGTGCAGTCTAAATTTTGAGAAGTCTCCTGTTAGAGCCCCATAACAGAAGAATGTTCTCTTAAAACAGTATTCCCCTGACTGGTTTGAGTGGTTATTACTACTTAAGAGTTACTGATTCCTTTCTACCCTCACAACTGAACAAATTCAAGTACAACAAAAACATTCTAAGTGATAGACCACAAAAACAGTTCTTCTATTCTAGCCACTGGCTGCCACATTTTCACATACTTACATGTAAACTCACATCATTTCTTTTCCTGGAGATCCCATAAAAAAGAATGTTCAATGTGTAACCCAATATATTTTGCAGCACTGAACTTGACCTTGGTGAGGAGTTAATGTCAGCACTCTAGCTATAACCTCCAAGTTTAGGACCCAACAGGCAGATTTAAGACCTACTTATCTCTCTCCTGCTCTTTTCTGTCGCCTCCACCTCCCAATGCTGGAATTACAGGCATGCGGTAGCCTCCATCTATAGACAGGATTTAGTTTATAGACCCTCAGTAGAAGCCTAAAACCACTGCTCACACTTACTTCAGTGTGAGTGCTGTGACAGCTGGTCTGATGATCGTCAAGATGACTCCTGGTGATGAACAACTGGGTGGGTGGAGTAGACAGAGTGGACACCTGGCCAAAGGGATTATTTACATCCTAATCTGGACAATGGAAGATTGTGTCATTCTAGTCAGAATAGCACAGAGCTTAAAAAATTCATGAATTATTTCTTTCTGGAACTTTTCAAACCACACCTTATAACAGGTAGCTGAAACCATGGAAATTTGCAAAGCCATGGACACAAGGTGGGGAGGGGCACAATATGGCAACTGCTGTATTATCTGATAAAGCCAACAAAGGCAAAGGCACTACCCAAGGAAAACTCTAAATACCAGTAACGGATCCTTCAGATAAATCAGAGGTACAGAGCATGTGTTAGCTATCTTAAAATGAAGAAAAATGTAAAAAAAAAAACCCTAAACCTGAAGCCAATCAAGTAGCAAACAAATAATTATTTGTGGAGCCAGAAATAGCTACTCTATTGCAAAGTAAGTTTCTGGATACAACTACAGAAACTAGTTTGGGGAACAATCTAGGGCAGAGACTACCCCCACCAAAGCTGAGGTGCCTATTTAACATATCAAAGCTGGACCTGCCAGGTTATCCCAGCATTCCTCAGTCCACAGCACTCCCTACCCAGAACTCTCTCACCCAGGAGCTGGGCTGCCCTTCCCCCAGAGGCTCTTCCCTATATAATCCAGACACTGTGGTTACACTTCTCCTTTTTGTATCTTTGGCCTCCTGGCAGCTGCACTTGGTTCCCCCTCTCCCACATGGTACAGCTCAGTCTGGTCATGTCCACTCTGGACTCTCCCAGACATCCCTGCTTCTGACTATGCTGTCCCACAAATCTACAATAAACTTTCCCGTAGTCCACCATACCAAGGAGCAGTCATGACCTTTCCTTTTTATTCCTTTTTTTTCCTCACAACCCACCCAGGCGTTGGTAGCAAAGATAAATTCTCAAGGTAAAATTTATAAAGCCAGGCGTGTTGGCGTACACCTTTAATCCCAACATTCCGGAGGCAGAGGCAGGAGGATCTCTGTGAAATCAGCCTGGTCTACAAAGTGAGTTCCAGGTTAGCCATGGCAGTAACAGCAAAATTCAGTGGGGGGGGGGGGACGGGACGGGACAGGACACCAAACAAAAAGAATTCTGCTTAAATGGAATTCTTGTTGGGTTTTCTTTTGTGGGGAGTGGGATACTGGGAATTGAACACATGACCTTACATATACTATGTAAATGCTCTATCTTTTGAGCTACACTTTAGCCCCTAATGAAATTTCTTTCTTGGAGACCTTGAACAACTTATTCAATAAAAACTTGTAAGTATCTAAATACAGAATTTTCAAAAGTATTTAAGAACTCTCAGAATGTACCAACATGAATTAAAAACCTTACCTCCAATATGCAAAGGCAAAAAAGTTATTGGTGGTAAAAATCTCACAAAAGGGAGCATAACAAATACAAGCAATAAGGCAAAATAAAAATTTTAAATGCAGCTCAGTCTTAAAAAGCTTTGAAAGCTTTCAACCTCATTTCAAAGTAAAACCACATTTTTGTAATCCATTTCAAAGTTGCACATCCAAACAGTGAAGAGACAGGCAAACTTTAAGCCTGAGGTAAATCTTCACACTTGCCTAATTTTTAAGGGGGAAATAATTAATAAAAAGAGCAAAGGCACAAAACAGGCAGAGGCCTCAGAGGAAGTTAGGGGATTAACTAGGCACATTATCTTAGCTATCAAAAAGCAAACGCCTAATCCTTCATTCTCCCACAGAGGATCCTTGGCCACTGCAGCACTAGTTATACAAGTTTAATGAGCCACTGCTTACTGTTTGTAAGGGTATTTTTGCAAGGCTTAAATTACATTTAAAAGTCTTTTCACATGTATAACATGAAAAACTAAAAAACGAGCTATGTTGTATTACACAGGCTGCAATAAAAGAGAAATCTGCATTTCCTTAGAATTGCAAACTCTAAAAGGACACATTGGAGTTTAGAGGTCTACTTGGAGATGAAAGGTGAAATTTAAGTTTTCAACATTATGAAAGGCTTCAGGACTGGTTCCTAATTAGCATGTAACAAGTATGCTCACAAAGAAAATTGCCAGGCATAATGGTGCTCGTCTTTGATCCCAGCACTCAGAAGGCAAAGGCAGGCTGATCTCTGTGATTGGAGGCTAGCCAGAGCTACACAGTGAGCCCCTTAGAGAAAGAGACAAAGACAGGTCAAGCAGTTCCCCACCCTTAGCATGCCGGATGTGGGGACACAAGATTTTAATGCAAGCAGTCAGGAGGTAGAGGATGTAAGCAGATCTGAGTTCGAGGCCAGTCTAGGATACATAGCAAAAGACCTTGTCTCAAAAGAAGAAAAATTCAAAAACTAGCTACTACTGGAGAGTTTACACAATACCACCACCAAGTGAGAAAATAACAGGGTTCTTTCTATGGTGAATTCGACTCTAGAATTCAATTTTTTTTCCTGCTGTAAGGCGATTAAAGGAAATGGTAAACTTGACTTTCAGACAAAGAAATACACCTAAGGTTAGTGTGTAGCGTCTAACAAAGATTTAAGGGGGTTTCCCATCTCCCATTGCTCTCTAGACTCCAAAAGAGGACGGAGCACATGACTTAAAAGTGGAAGGTAGAATTTTTATTGATTTCAGATTCTACTTCAACTTCTTCAAACTCTGATTTAGTTAAGAACTGGCTCTTCCCTTTTCCACTGAGGGAAACAAAGCTTCTTTTAGTTTTCAACTTTATTTCATGCCCAATCTCCAAGGTATAAAGAAATTCCCCTTTAACTATTTCTACACACAACAAACTTGTTCAATACTAGACCTGGATGGAGGTGGGTGGTCCTTGGACTTCCCACTGGGCAGGGAACCCTGAGAGCTCTATGGGCCGACAAGGGAGGGGAACTTGATTGGGGGAGGGGGAGGGAAATGGAAGGCGGTGGCGCGGAGGAGGCAGAAATCTTTAATAAATAAATAAACGGAAAAAAAAAAGAAACTTGTTCAAACCAATTAAAATTTAGGAATGCAGTTTGAACACCTGTGAAGATTCTGGCCGAATTCAGGACACATACTATAAAAGCTCAGGAAATGCCATACACATATGCAAAGACACATTAAGAAGTGTGCTGTACTGTAGATTCAGATTCAAACAGGAATACAGCATTTACTCAATCAAAAGGTGTTTTTCTTTTACTGAATTCCTAGAGAAGTATACCTTTAACCTTCCCACAACCTCCCCAAACTAAGCAGAACTGCATCAAATTCAGAAGAAATCGATAGAACCAGAATTACAAGTCAAAGCCTGGTGGCAGTTACACCAAGAAAACGCAACCTCTGGGCGGCTAGAGGTCAAAATGCTAAAAGCTTAGGTGTTCAGACACCTCTCAAAACCCGGGCCATAAGTTAAGTCGTAACCTCTAATCCCTACCCTCCGAGAACCATTGCTATTTTCTTTCGCTACTTTGAACTCTAAGCCTCTGTGTGTTTAAGGGTAAAGGCGGCTTCCTCTGGGTTATGCTCGATTGCTCTAAAACTGACTGCCAAAAAAAAAACCTCAGATGAGCAAGGGAGTAAAGGAAGTTTGTTTGCCTTGAGCCTGACCCCGTCTGAACCCTGCTCAGGACCGAGCGAGCACAGGTGATCCACAAATGCTCACCCAGCTGGGCACCCGTACGTGCCAAATGCCAGGCAGAAAGGTTGGCACACGTGCCACTCTCCTACTCAGGACTGAGATGAGGAAATTGGGCCCTGGGACGATTGAAAAAAAAAACAAAACTCTTTTCTCCTTGTTGGCAAGGACTCGATACTAGTAAATGATGAAGTTGGGCTGTGCACGGATCATCCGGCTACTGGGACTGCGAGTTCTTTATTTCGTCTTACGTGGCCACTTGGCCACGAGCTATGACAAGGAGGACAGTGCAAGTCACCGGAGTCCATGGAGGCTGGAGCAAGCCCAAGCTCCGCCTCCCGGCGTCCCGTAAGCAGCGGACGGTTCTGGGGCGCTGCTGGGGAGCCGGCGAGAAGCTCCACCCGTGGGGATTGGGGGAGGTGCGGTGGACCGGGCGGTTCTCAAGCCCCTCCGCCTCAGGCCGTGACGACACGCACCTCGCAGGAGGCCCACGCGAGCTCCGTAGCTCGTCACCCCCGGCACCCGGCCGTGCGCCCCGGGGGTCCGGCCCGCCCTCCTCCCGCCCCGCCTCAGGCCGGCTCGAGCCCCACCCCAGCCTCACCGGCTTCTGCGCAGCGCCTGCCAACACGCGGGACACAGCGGCGAGCATCTTCCTCATGGAGCGCAGCAGACTCACCCGCTGGCAGCTGCACCCGGGCACTCAAAAGGAGTGGTTCGGGCGTCCCCAAGTCTCCTTGAGGCGCCCTGAGCCGAGACCACGCCCTAAACGCAGTGACGGAGTCGGTACGGCGTCACGCACCGCGCCAGCCTGTGGGCCAATTAGAATGGCTGCCGGTGAAGGCTCCGCCCATCTCGGGAACCTGCGACCGCCCATTAAAGAATTAACCAAAAAAGGGGTGGGGCTGTGGGCGCCTTTCGTCGCTACTGTGGCTAGCGGGTGAGGAGGCGGGAGCCAGCCCCAGGGCGCCTGCGTGGGAAAGTGGGGGTTCGGGGAGGCCTGGCCTTTCTCTTGCTCTGTGCACCACAAGCCAGCGACGAATGGGCGAAGGCGGGTCCTCCTCTTTGCCCTGTCGGGCCGGTGGTGCGGCTTTACAGCCTTGTCCCAGTACACGGAAAAAAGCCGTGGTGTCGGGCAGAAAGACAGACCATCTGGTTTCTAGAAATAGTTCTGCCACTGATTTGTCTTTTAAAAGATCACATAGCCTTACAAAATGTTGCCCTTGTTGACTTGGGTGAGAATAACAAAAATAGATTTAACAGTTAATGTTAGATGTTGCTGGGTGGTGGCACGTGCCTGTCATTCCTCCTCTAGGGAGGCTGAGGTAAGCTGATAGCCGCCGAAGTCGGTGGCCAGGCTGGCTCCTTAGGTCAAGGCAAGTTTGGGCTACTCAGAGAGATTGTCTCAAAAATAACAATAAGTAAATGAAAGTAAATACTAATGATTGACCATAGAAGTATAAGAGCTCAGTGTTAGCGCTAATCTGTCCTTTGACTTCCTGTTAGTGTGCTTCTTTTCATGGGGGACTCAGTTTTCGCCAAGCAATTCTTCTGACCGTTATTCTTGGGAAAAGGCAGATTCCTGTATCTCCTGTTTGTCATTGTTAACCCAAACACTAGAAAGATTAGGACACAAGCCTTTAGGAGAATGAGGGAATTCTGCAGGTGACTTCTCAAAGTTTGGACTGTATTAGCCACAGTGGAGGAGTTTATGTTGCTTTGAGAAGTTAACCTCAAAGTATCATTCGATCAGAAAAACGGAGGTTGACTTTTCCACTCAAATGTCCAGCATTGGCCAGGTACCATTTCTATGAGGTCACTTGGGAACCCAAGATAAAAGGTATTGTAATATTTGAAATTGTGATCCCCATGGTCAATGAAATATGGAAGGAGAAAGTGCCTGAAAGTTCTTACAGGCTCCTTCACGTGCTTTGGCTGACTTATCCCCTCTTCCTGGAACTGACATCTTGGTCATCTGCTCTGTCCTATTCTGTCATCCACAGAGGAGGAGGAAGGATGAAATGGGTGCTGAGAGTGGAACGTTATAGCCCATGGGAAAGAAACAGCTATGAGTCCCTTCACAAGGACTCCGCCGAGTAAAAAAAAAAAAGGGAGCAGCGCTTCCTTGCACTGCAATTCCAATTAATTATTGGAAAAGGAGCCCTGAAAATAATGGGACACAGTTGCTGGTGCTGGAGAGGCAGAGATGAGAGGATCCCTGGGACTTGTTGGTCAGTCAGTCTAGCTGATTAGTAATCTCCGGGATAAGTAAGAGTCCCTACCTCAAAAAAAAAAAAAAAAAAGATGAAGAGTAATTGTGGAAGACACAACATCAACCTCTGCCCTCCTCACATATGTACACACACAAATATACTCGGACTAAGGGGATGGGAATCACCATATGGCAAAGACATAGTCACCATTGCGGGTAATAATTATCAATAGAAGCTAAAACTAGTGACTGAAAAAAATGAGGAACAAGACCTTTGCATTATCAAAAAATGGGGGCTGGAGAGATGGCTCAGAGGTTAAGAGCATTGCCTGCTCTTCCAAAGGTCCTGAGTTCAATTCCCAGCAACCACATGGTGGCTCACAACCATCTGTAATGGGGTCTGGTCCCCTCTTCTGGCCTGCAGACATACACACAGACAGAATATTGTAAACATAATAAATAAATAAAATATTAAAAAAAAATGTTTTCCCACAAGAAATTTATCATTACGAAGGTTAATGCCTTGGAGAAACTACCGTGGAGAAACAAGGAGTTTTAATAACTATAGTATTTTTGTTATTCTTTTCTTTGCAAAAATTACAAAGCCAAGGCTATGAAGATGGCTCAACAAAGTAAAGACACTTTCCACCAAGTCTGAGGATATAAATTCAATCCGTAGGTACATATGGAAGGAGAGCACTGACTCCAGTAATTTTCCTTTGATGTACACACACATACACAGGCACATGCATACATGCACAGAAACTGAGAGATACTTTGCAACATTGTAGCCAATGGGGAGAGATTGTAACTGTGGTGGTTACTATGGGCTACATTGACACTGTATGTGTTAAAAACAGTCACAAAGGGGTCTGGCTTATAGAAGGGAGGTCAGGGAGATGAAGAAAGACTTGCCCAAGGAAGAGAAAGTCTTAAGAAAGGAGGGCTTCTTCATCTTGGATGACATTGGAAACAAGAAACTTTGTTTTCTCATCCCTCTGGCAGAACTCTCCAGTTTATGGTGGGTTTCTAGATGGACATTTAAAGGTCCTGTATGTTTTTGTTTTTTACTTTTTCTTTGCAAATCTCCTTAAAGTTCTCAAACAAGCTGAGTTTTAGGGAAAGCATGGTCCTTTGCCATGCTCTGTACAGCTTCGGGGATTGACCTAACCCGGTTGACGAGGGAATGAAAGAAAGACAGACACATATACGGAAAAGCTGGGATCTGGTAGGTTGTGCTATTCTAATGGAGGTCACCAACTGCAACAGCAACCTGAAACCTCAGTGTGTTTATTTTATACATCTGAGTCAAAGCAATGGGGATATCGTATGCAGATGAATAAAGAGTAGGGTTTATGGTATGCATATGAATAAGGAGACAGGTTTAAGTAATCTCAGTAGAAGTTCTCTTATAAGTGAGCAGTCTTAGGCTACAGTTATCCAGGAGGAGGAAGCTGTGGTTGCCAGTTTCTGTACACATTGTCAACACTTGCTCTTCTGCCTTTGCTGTCCCTCTGAGCCTCACTCCTGGGGAAGACTTTGCCACATGCATGGGTCCAAGGCATGGGATCCTGAACATGGCTGCATTCGTACCAACAACCAACATTCACTCAGGACTTAGTCTGCACTCCATGGCACTCCATGGTCTTTAATGTGCTTTTGGTTTCCTCCTTGCCACCTGTCCCCCACCAGAAAATCGAACAATCAAAACTGTTAAAGTCAGCATTCAGAATTATCTTTAATGTGCTGACACCATGCTGGCAGAGGGATTATGTCTAGAGGCCTTTATGATAGCAGAACTACTATATGAAGTTTGCATAAACATAGCACACAATAAAATAAATGCAACAAACCAATATAATCATATATCAAGTTTCTGGCATAACCCGCGGAGAGAAACCACAAGTTACTACTTAATACGAGGGAAAAGTGACTACGCCTCCTCCTCAGTGGGATATATCCTCAGTGGGAAAATATTATTTATATAAATATGTAAACTCATTTTATATGATATATAAATAAATATTAAGTATATTTATTATATATGGCAATAAATATATAGTAAATATAAATACATATATAAACTATTGTCAGTTACCATTAACTATCATTGTTGTTATTGAGACAGGGTCTTACTATGTAGACCTGGCTATCCTGGAACTCTATGTAGGACATGCTAGCCTCAATAATTACATTTTTGTAGAAAAAATGTAAGTTAAAATATAATTAGATTACTTCCCTCCTCCTTCCCTGTTCTCCCTCCAACCCTTCTCATGTCTCTTCCCTCTATTTACTGGTCTCTTAATTATTTTTTAAAGAATAGTTTTATGATTTATTTAACTTTATTTTATATACATTGCTGCGAAGGTGTCAAATCCCCTAGAACTGGATTTACAGACAGTTGTGAGCTGCCATATGGGTGCTGGGAATTGAACGCAGGTCCTCTGGAAGAGCAGTCAGTGAGTGCTCTTAACCGCAGAGCCAGCTCTCCAGCCCTATTATTGTTGTTGTTACATATATGCAAAAAAATAAATACAACGTGATACGTCCATTTAGGGTGGCTCATGTGTGTATGATTTCAAAGATGCATGCACACACACACACATACAAAGTGTATATAATTATGTTAATGTTATTTGGAGATGGGAATATAGCTCATTGATAGGAGAGTGATTGCCTAGCATACATGACGCCCTGGGTTCAATTCCCAGGAATGCATAAAACTGTCATGATGGTTCAAGCCTGTAATCCCAGCACTTGGAAGTTGGAGGCAGGAACACCAAAAGTTCAAGCTCATCAAAAATGTCATTAGGAACCCTGATTTTTGGCATAAAGGAAGTGTTGTAAATACAAACACCGAGAAGTCAAAGTTGAGTGGTCTTAACCATATCCCCAGAAAGTCCTAGACTCAAAAATCTGATCAATAATAGTTCTTCTGGTAACTGGCAAAGAAAAAGAATCATGGCTTTTCTCTGCCTTTGTGTACACACTCAAAAAAGGCAAAGAAATGGCTTGTTTCCCTTATCATAAAAAATTATGGTGTTTTAATGCCCCCATCTCACAACTCTAAAGTTCCATTGTGGAGGGACTTTGAAACGTGGGGTCACATTGAAAACTAGGAACTCAACTCATGGCATGCTATAACAAGAGATAAAGTGGCCTCATACTTAAGAGTCCCTATACTTAAGGTTCTGGGACCATTGTGAAAGAGAGGGTGGAAAGATTCTAAAAGCCAGAAGCCCAGAAAGTCTGTTGTATGTGTCCTCTAGCTATGACAGGGAAGCTGCATCTATGAAGTCTCAACACAGTGGCTGCCTAAGCAAGACCTACACAATGCTAACCCCAGTTAACAGCCCAACTAGCTTAGGGGCCACAGCCCTGGATGAAGAGCTTCAAGCAATTGATGACTACTGAAAGAGGGAGACTTAGTCTTCCCCCAGGGACTCAAGGGCACACTAATTCATTATGCAACCCCATGTGGTCAGCCTCAAAAACATATACATTTGAGCAACAATAAAAGAACTCAGCAGGCTATACTTATGTATTT